CAAGGCCGTCGGCCGCCGCACGGCAAGGCACGCCGGCCGCCTAGGCCGCTGGCCGCCACACGGCAAGGCCGCCGGCCGGCAGCCGCCACACGGCAAGGCCGCCGGCCGCCACACGGCAAGGCCGCCGGCCGCCACACGGCAAGGCCGCCGGCCGCCGGCCGCCACACGGCAAGGCCGCCGGCCGCCGGCCGCCACACGGCAAGGCCGCCGGCCGCCGGCCGCCACACGGCAAGGCCGCCGGCCGCCGGCCGCCACACGGCAAGGCCGCCGGCCGCCGGCCGCCACACGGCAAGGCCGCCGGCCGCCGGCCGCCACACGGCAAGGCCGCCGGCCGCCACACGGCAAGGCCGCCGGCCGCCGGCCGCCACACGGCAAGGCCGCCGGCCGCCGGCCGCCACACGGCAAGGCCGCCGGCCGCCACACGGCAAGGCCGCCGGCCGCCACACCGGAAGGCCGCCGGCCGCCACACGGCAAGGCCGCCAGCCGCCGGCCGCCATCCCCATGCTGGGCGCCATCCCCATGTCTTAAGGTGTGGAGGTGTGGGAAGTGGAGGTGTGGGAAGTGGAGGTGTGGGAAGTGGAGGTGTGGGAAGTGGAGGTGTGGGAAGTGGAGGTGTGGGAAGTGGAGGTGTGGGAAGTGGAGGTGTTGGAAGTGTAGGTGTGGGAAGTGGAGGTGTGGGATCTGGGTGAGTGAGCGAACGTGATTGAGTGAGTTTGAGTGTGAGTGTGAGTGTGAGGGTGAGAATGTGAGTGAATGAATGAGCAAGGGTGAGTGAGTGCAACAGAATGAGTGAGCGACGAGTGAAGTAGTGAGTGAGTGTTATGAGTGTGAGTCTGAGTTTGAGTTTGAGTGTGAGTGTGAGCGTGAGTTGAGTGTTAGTGAGTGAGTGAACGTGACCGAGTGAGTGTGAGGGTGAGAAAGTGCGTGCTGGTGGTGAGTATGAGTGTGAGTGGTGGTATGTGTGAGTGTTAGTATGAGTGGTGGTGAGTGTGAGCACGAGTGGGGATGGGTGGGGAGTGGTGGAGTAGAGTGGTAGTTGCATATGCGGTGGTGGTGATGGTGTGTCACGATAGCGTCTTAGTTAGGAAACGGGTTTGACTTACGGCCTAGGCTTAGGAGCCTAGGCCAAGCGGGTGTCGAGTTGGATGTGCAAGGGAGAATCGAGAAAGAGTGGTTTCACTATAGAATGTGAAGAACATATAGTGAACAAAAGGTGCACCACCAACAGCAATGCACTATAACTACACTACAGCTACAGCTACAGGCAGTTGTAAAGATATTATATAAAATAGTGTGACTGGTGGTTAGCGTCGGTGCGACGGCCGCCACCCCTTTCCCCCTTTCCACCCCCCCACAGCGACTGCCTGCGCAAACGCAAAGTGTTGTGGGGCGGGTGGAGCGCAAGGAGGCCGCATGGGGCGGCACAGCAGCTGCACTCGCGGAATGTGCAGCGACTGCAGCAGCGGGAGGGCGGGCGGGGATAGTTGCTGGTGCGCAACGGGCGGCGTGAAGCTGATGACGGGCGGCGAGGATGTGGCGACGAGCGGCGACGGGGAGGTGACGAATGGGGCGACGAACAGGGCGACACATCGACGGGCGGAAGAACGACGGGCGGCAGCTGCTGCTAGTGCGGGGATCTGACGGTCGGCAGTGGGCTGGCTGGCGCGTCGGTTGGCGAGCTGACTGATGGTCCGCCGCCACGCCCTCCCCCCTTCCCTCTCTCCCGCCACATCGCGACCGTTGCTGCACACGCGTACAGCCGCGACGTTGGGTGACGAGCAGGGGCCGCGGGGCCTTCGATCGAGCGGGACGCATACGACGGGGAGCGAACTGGCGGCGGTAAGCGTACGGACGGCAGGGTGTGCGCGGAACGCAGGGCGAAGGGCGAGCGGGCGACGGGCTGATCGTGAGAAAACGCTCACGAGGCTCGCTACGGGGCGCGTCATTGCGAGCGCTGACGGTGGGCCCATTTAAAACGGTCCTAAATCGGACCTAGCTCAATACCATGTCACGATAGCGTCTTAGTTAGGAAACGGGTTTGACTTACGGCCTAGGCTTAGGATCCTAGGCCAAGCGGGTGTCGAGTTGGATGTGCAAGGGAGAATTGAGAAAGAGTGGTTTCACTATAGAATGTGAAGAACATATAGTGAACAAAAGGTGCACCACCAACAGCAATGCACTATAAGTACACTACAGCTACAGCTACAGGCAGTTGTACAGATATTATATAAAATATATAATCTGACATGGTGGTGGGGCAGTGGGGTTGAGAGCCGATTCCAGCCCTGCAGGGGGAGTCGAAGAGTGAGGGGGTGGGTTATCACTATGGGCAGAGGGCACACCTCCTCTGCCCTTGCCCTGCCTTGCTCGGGGGGTTTCACCCCGCCTCTCTTGCTGCTTACTGGCCGTGCTGTGGGGGGCTCATCCTCTCAGCCTTTCATCGATGCCCTCGCCCTACCCAGGGGGTTCAGCCCCCCTCCACCACCACACCTTTGCCGTATAATCAGTCAACCCCTCCACCCCTCTTCCCTCCTCGTCCCTCCCATCCAGTCATTGCCTTCCTTCGTGCTCCACGCCCCTGCACCTGCTGCCAGCCTGCACATGGCATGACGCCAGCAGCACCACCCCCAACTGCCAGCAGCACCAACCCCCACTGCCAGCAGCACCACCCCTCACTGCCAGGAGCCATCGCACGCAGTTCTACCACTCTCCCATGTCTGGCTGTCTGGTTCTCTCACAAGCCTTGTGGCAGGCATGGCTGCCTCACCTCACCTGCCATGCCATGCATCACGCTTGTTGTAACTTGTAGTGGTTCCTTAGGCTTGGAAAACACAAGGGGTATGTTTCAAGCACAGCGGCGTCTGGCTCTGGCTTTGCGATGCGATCTCTATCTATGCTTGATTTCTTGTGTGTACTAGAGGTCCTGATTTCAATTGTGCAAATAGACCCTATGTAGTATGTAAATGCATTGCATATCCACCAAGCAAGAGAACACAAAGTAACTGTGAACCTGCCTGTCTTCCTTACACATCAAACCATCCTGTATAATTCGCGTTCAAACAGCAGCATGCTTGTCAGATTCTATCAATACCGGTACTACCGGTAGTGGTGGCCCATAAAATATCAATACATATCTTCATGCTGTGCATTGCTGGTTCAGAGGACCCATAGAGCACGCACTATATCAGTTACCAACACGCTTGCCAGAACACTGTTGAAACTAGGCGATAAGAAGGAATGGTAGAAGAGGGTTTGCACTAGCAGGCAGGTGGGATACATGTAGGAACCCTAAAAGGGTTGTACTCTCTGTTGAGTACCCCACTACAGCCTACAGAGCAAATAACAATTTGACACACCCCCATAGGAAAAGTGGGGGATAGCCAACACAACAAGCAGTCGCAGAACCAGGTCACAAGCAAAGCCTAGTGGCAGGAACAGAGGGCAAGTGAGGAGGAGGAGGAAACTGGAAAGGAGACGAGGTGGGCGGCCGCTGAAGCTGCTGGCACTGGTCGCAAACGGCGTAACCGGCTCTGCTCGCCGGCAAGAGCAACTGACCCTCTGGGGACCGGAGCAACGGGTAACCGGAGTAACTGGCTCGCTCGCCGGCAAGAGCAACTGACCCACCGGCCTCTGACGCAATGGTCTCACGGGCGACTAGAGCTGCAGACTTCACGACGGCTACCTCCGTTCAACCTCCCCCCATTGCCCCAAACCCCCTTGTCACATCCCCCTCTGCATCCCTAGCACCACTCCCTCAACTCCCACACCATCCCCCCCTCAGCAGCAGCTGCAGCAGTGGGAGAGAAAGGAGGAGGAGGAGCAGCCAACCACTCACACCCGCCACCCCCATACCCTCCCCCCACGGCTGCACGTGCAGCAGGGAGATGAAGGAGAAGAAGGGGGGGGCGGGGGAGCGGGGTAGGAGCTGCCTCGCGACTGCAGGAGCGGGAGCGCGGGCTGCAGAGGCGGCGCACTGGCTGCAGGGGCAGCGCACAGGCTGCAGGGGGGGCTCGCGGGCTGCAGGGGCGGCTCCCTGGCTGAAAACCGCCGCCCCCCCGAGGCGCGCGGGGGCACAGGGGCGACGCGCGGGTCCCATGGGGGCGACGCGCGGGTCCACAGGGGCGACGCGCGGGTCCCACGGGAGCGACGCGCGGGTCCACAGGGGCGACGCGCGGGTCCACAGGGGCGACGCGCGGGCCCCACGGGGACGACGCGCGGGTCCACGGGGGCGACGCGCGGGTCCCACGGGGCGGCGCGACGGGTGCACGGGGGCGGCGCGACGGGTGGGAAACCGCCGCGCGCCTCGGGGCGCGCGGGGGGCAGAAAACCGCCGCGCACCACGAGGCGCGCGAGGGGCAGAAAAACGCCGCGCACCACGGGGCGCGCGGGGGGCAGAAAAAATGTCGCGCGTCCGGGGCGCGCGACTAACAGGATAGCAGCGGAAGCAGTAGGGCCCATCCACATGATCGACCAAGAAGGGTCGACCTGCTCTGATACCATGTTGAAACTATGCGATAAGAAGGAATGGTAGAAGAGGGTTTGCACTAGCAAGCAGGTGGGATACATGTAGGAACCCTAAAAGGGTTGTACTCTCTGTTGAGTACCCCACTACAGCCTACAGAGCAAATAACAATTTGACAAACACCATCTCCCTACAACCCTCTAGCCTGGGGTTGGAAAGCACAGCTGGCCACAGCTGAACGCTGATCAGCATACCATCAAACTCAAGTGGAATCAATGTCAACGGCTTCATTCACATGTGCACAATATATACAAGCAGCAACACCATGCTGCCACCTCTGTCGCCAGTCCATGAGCCTTGATTCCTTCTCCTCGATTTTCCAATTTACCGTCCCTGCCAATGCCCCTGCCAATGCCCCTGTCAAGGCCCCTGCCAAGGCCTTATACAGCTCGAAACCCGGAAACATGCTGCTGTTTGAACGCGAATCATACAGGATGGTTTGATGCGTAAGGAAGAAGGGGCGGTGTGGTTTGTGCAATCACAGCTCGAAACCCGGAAATTGCGCGTCGTCAGGCCGGGCCAGGTCCAGGAAGAGACAAGCCACGATGCCCAGGCCCTCCATGAGGGAGAAGGGGCGGTCGCCGCAGTGCAGCAGGGCGGCATGTGCGAGGCGCTGGCGGTGGGCCACGAGGAAGGCGGCAAACACACGCGCTCTGTGCAGGTGCGTGCTGGGAGGGGGCAGGGCGGGAGTGGTGTTTTCCTGCATGCTGTTGGTTTGCCTGTTGCTGCTGTTGCTGCTGTTGGGTTGCCTGTTGCTGCTGTTGCTGCTGTTGGTTTGCCTGTTGCTGCTGTTGCTGCTGTTGGTTTGCCTGTTGCTGCTGTTGCTGCTGTTGGTTTGCCTGTTGCTGCTGTTGCTGCTGTTGGTTTGCCTGTTGCTGCTGTGGCTACCAGCGATGCCGTGGCACAGCCCCATCTTGCGCAGCAGGCCCCGCTGCCATGCCACCTCGCCCGCTGCCACCGCTGCTGCCAGCAGGTGCTGCCTGCTCGGGTGTGACTGGTGCATGGGCGGGGTGGGAAAGGGCATGCATAGGAGAGATGATAATGCTGCCATGCCACCTCGCCTGCTGCCACCGCTGCTGCCAGCAGGTGCTGCCTGGACGGGTGTGACTGGTGCAGGATAGGGGTGGGAGAGGGGGCATGTGCATGGAAGGGCAGAGATGGAGAAGCAGAGATTGCAAGGCAGTAAGTGGAAGCAGTAAGCAAAAAGGCATGCAATCGTCGCACCGTGGAAGCAGTAGCAGGCAGCATGTGCACAGAGGAAAGCCCACTGCAGCACTGCAGGTCACGTGCACAATGCAAACAAATGCCACAGAAACCACAGATGACAGCACAAGGTGCATGCACAGGCACACGCACAGTCACATGCCGTAGCAGCGTGGGCAAGCGCCATGGCCACACCAGGAGCGCCGTGGCACCACTGCACCAACCTGTCCGCCCCACCTGCTGCCGCCCTGACTGCGTCCCCCCCAGCCCCACCTCCCCCAGCCCCACCTCCCCCAGCCCCACCTCCCCCAGCCCCACCTCCCCCAGCAGCAGCAAGGCGTTTCTCGTCACTGGAGGGGTAGTTGCCGCTCGGCAGCTTACCAGCCACCATCCACTCCAACACCGCCACCGCCTCCCTGCCCCCTTCTTCCACAACCTCTTCCCCTGCCTCCCCCTCTGCGTACGACGCTGCTGCCTCCCCCACCCCCACTCGTCCCACGTGCCCCACATGCCCCACCTGCCCCACATGTCTCTCCCCCAGCAGCAGCGTGTGGGCAATCCCTGCCAGCCCATGTGCTGCCCCCCAGTAACGCTTGCCGTGCCATGCGAACATGAGAGGGGGGGCGCGAGGGGCGGAGGCTGGTGGTGGTGGGGAAGAGGAGGAGGATGAGGGGGGAGAGGGGGAGGGTGGAGGAGGGGAGGAGGAGGCTGCAGGTGTGGGGGTGGGAGTGAGGTGTTCTCCACTCGTGCTCTCCTTGCGTCGTTTGTGGGGGGAGGAGTGAGGTGAGGATGGAGAGTGAGAGTGATGAATGTGAGTGTGAGGGTGGGACTGGGTATGGGAGGAGGGAGGTACGGCCTGAGAGGGGGGATACCACGACTGTGCAAAGAAACGCCCGCCAGCAATGATTGATTCCATGATCGGGCGGCAAACAGAATCAGGAACAGCAGCCCGCCCCAGATGCTGCCGAATGAACATTGCCGCCCACAACAAGCCCGCCCGCCCGTACAGCAGCTCGTAGGGAATGCCAGCTGGCGCGATGTCATTGGTGGAAGAGGGCCGCTGGGAGAGCGCAGGGAGTGCGTCAGTGATGAGGTCGAGGAACCTTCGCAGAAACTTCTCGCTGTCGTGCTGGCGGCGCTGCAGGTGAGCCACGACCGCCCCCAGGGCGAATATTCCGGGCTGCCCGCAAAAGAAAGAATGGCGGCTGACAGAGATGGGGGACCGGGGGTGGGTGGCGAGAAGAGAATGGCATGAGCGCAAGGGAAAGAGGGGTGTGATGTGATGTGAGGGAGGCATGTGCGTGGTTGTAGCGATGAGTGAGTTGCTGGCAGGTGGGGCTGGAGGCGGGGCAGGGGCGGCTAACGAGGTACATCAAAATCCGTTGAATGAATGGAGAAGGGTGTGAGCGAGGCGAATCTTTAATCAGCGTGGAACTTGGGCACTCACACGTGGTCCTGACTCTCTGCCAGCTCAGCAGCGGCTCGAGTGATGTCAGCAGCGAGGTCCAGGTCAGCCCTGCTGCGAGTGACGTGGAAGGCACGCAGGCACACGAAGGCGGTTCCCAACAGGCCCGTGTACAGGAAAGGGTCTGTCTTGCTGCCACGTGGAAGCATGCGGTTCCGCCACGTGGCATGGACCACCTGAGAGCGGGTGGAAAGGGGAAGGCGCGAGGTGAGGCACTCGTTTGGGTGGTTGTCTTACATCATACCCTTCAAGGCACGCAATCATGATGATGAGGCGCCTTGAGCAAGCCGTTTCGCATATGCAGCACTTACCCATGAGAGCACGCACCAGCGGGCGCCCAGGCCGCAGTGCGCGCCCATGCAGCGCGCTTACAGCGCCCCAGCGCGCGCCCATGCAGCGCGCTTACAGCGCCCCAGCGCGCGCCCATACAGCGCGCTTACAGCACCCCGGCGCGCGCCCACGCACCATGATGCACCGCGTAGCGCCATCGTCCCACCTCATCTTTGAGCGCAAGCCCAGCCCCAAGAAACACCTCCTCCGAAGGAAGCGCCAATCGCCTCTCGACACGTGTCGCGTCCGCCCCCTTCTCCTCTTCCTCGCCGCTCTCCCCCATCTGCCCGCCCTTCCGCATGCCCGTCCGAACGCCCTTCCCCACGTCCTTCCGCCCGCCCTTCCGCCTCGTCCGCTTCGGGCAGAAGGTTGCGGAAGCGGCGGTCGTCTAGCACCGCAACGGGGAATGCTTCTTCCGGAATTCGCGCGTCTTGCTGTGCCGCCATGTGGGTGAGATTCGGAAAAGCTGGCCGGGAATTTGGATGACCTGTTATTATTGATGTGAATATATTAATACACTTAGGAGCAATGTACGTGGTCGCGTGGCCTAATGGATAAGGCGCTCGCCTCCGGAGCGGGAGATTGTGGGTTCGAGTCCCACCGTGATCGGCCGCAGTTTTGCATTTCTTCGCTTGCTTTTTCACACATCACCGTTCTCTGCGGTTCCTCAAAATTGCTTCTCGCATCCCAACCCAAATGTCACGCGTCGCCTCACACTGCATACTTCGTTTTGCCACGCCGCATGCGTTTCCGCTTCTACATCGCGCGCCTTCCTCCGCTGCCCCTCACTGCGCGCCGAGCGCGCTGATCGCGCCCCTCGCTCTGCGTGCCATGCGATGGACGCCTCTCGCGCCGCTGGTCCGCGCCAGCCGCCACCTTGCCGGTGCAGCGAGCGCACGTCCAGCCACTCTGGGGCTGCCACGTGGGGGCAGCAGCTGCGGAGATGGCTTGCTGACGTCATAGTTACTCTGGCCTATGAGCCGCCACAGCCGTCCTTGGCCGCCCGCCTTTCCCGGCGCGTTTCCCCGAACACCCCCGCGCATCCGCCGACCGCACACACTGTGCCTTCTCAATTGCCCCCTTCCGCTTCCCCCGGCGCTCCAGGGGGGAGCTCCGCCAGTGATGAGGGTTGCGGGGAGGCGCAAGTCGCGAAGCGGGCGCTTCCGCGTCCGCGCGTGTGGCTTCCGCGCCCGCTGCGAGCGGTGGCGGTGGCGCTGCTGGCGGGGGGAGCCGCGGGGTACGGTGCAGTGATGCGCGCGCGGTGGGAGATGTACCAACGCGGATGGCGGAAGCGAAGCAGGTGCGCGTATGGGGGGGAGGAGGAGGGCGGAGAAGCATAGACGTATGACCCGCTGATGCGCACCCATTCTTGCTGCCCTTCCCGTTCCCACCTCTCTGCTTCTCCTCTCTTTCTCTTTCTCTTCCAATTCCCCCTTTCACTAACCTCCGCTTCCCGGCCATCCTCTCTTTCCCTCTTCCCGGGGCCACTGTGGGGAGGGGGCATGGCAGGGTGGGGGTGGCGGTGATAAGCGTGGGGAACATCACCTGGGGGGGAACCGGCAAGACGCCCATGGTCGCCTCCACCGCTCTGCACCTCCTCTCACTCCTCAACACCACCCCGCACTCACAACCTGCCTCACAACCTGCCTCGTCAGCCACTACCACCATCCCCGCATCCTCCTCCCCTTCCTCCCCTTCCCCCACCCCTCCCCCTCGCACGCCTTCGATCCTCATCCTCTCCCGGGTGAGCTCCCCCCCTCCCGCCTCCAGACTCCCCTCCTCCCCTCCTCCGCTCCTCCCCACTTCTCTACTACCCACACCTCACAGCCTTTGATATACAGCCTTCATCTCCCCCCCCTTTGTTTCCTCTCTTACCCTCTCATCCCCACCTTTCCATCCGTCTTCACATCCCTCCTCCCACCTTCCCCCGCCCCACCTGCCACGTGGCTCCAAGGGCTATGCAGGGGGTGACGAGGCGCGCATGCTGCAGCGCCAGCTCAGCGGCCGGCCGGTTATCATTGCCGTGGGACGGAAGCGCGCTGACGTGGCACGGCGAGTGATTGGCCAGTTCGGGGCGTGGAGGGGATGGGGAGGGGGAGCAGCGGAGGAGGGAAGGCATGAGGGGAGGAAAGAGGAGAGGAGGAAAGAGGAGAGGAGGAAAGAGGAGGGGAGGAAAGAGGAGAGGAGGAAAGAGGAGAGGAGGAAAGAGGAGAGGAGGAAAGAGGAGGGGAGGAAAGAGGAGAGGAGGAAAGAGGAGAGGAGGAAAGAGGAGAGGAGGAAAGAGGAGGGGAGGAAAGAGGAGGGGAGGAAAGAGGAGGGGAGGAAAGAGGAGGGGAGGAAAGAGGAGGGGAGGAAAGAGGAGGGGAGGAAAGAGGAGAGGAGGAAAGAGGAGGGGAGGAAAGAGGAGGGGAGGAAAGAGGAGGGGAGGAAAGAGGAGGGGAGGAAAGAGGAGGGGAGGAAAGAGGAGGGGAGGAAAGAGGAGGGGAGGAAAGAGGAGAGGAGGAAAGAGGAGGGGAGGAAAGAGGAGGGGAGGAAAGAGGAGGGGAGGAAAGAGGAGGGGAGGAAAGAGGAGGGGAGGAAAGAGGAGGGGAGGAAAGAGGAGGGGAGGAAAGAGGAGGGGAGGGGCCATGGGGGGGTGGATGGGGGTGGTGCTGTGGGGCCTGTTGCTGCGGTGATCATGGACGATGGCATGCAGGTGTGTGCGCCAACCTTTACATGTCCTGCATCATTCTGCATGATTCAGCGTTTCCATTCGTGCATTGTTCAACACGCACATTGGTCAGTTTCACACCTGTACCCTCCCGTGCTCCTGCCATTCTCCCTGCCTGCCCTCATCCTCCCCTCCTCCGCTCTTCCCCCGCCAGCACTGGGCGCTGCATCGCGATCTCGACATTGTCATGCTCAATGCCATGCCGCCACATGCGCAAGGGCAAGAGCAATCACAAGCGCAAGCGGATTCTTATGCGCAAGGGCAATCAGGGTGCAGCAGTCCGTGGGGCAATGGGCAGCTGGTGCCACGTGGACCAATGAGGGAGCGGCTTGAGGCGCTGCAACGGGCAGATGTGGTTGTCATTCACAATGCTGACCTGGTAACCTGCCTTGCTGTCGTAATTTGCTTCACTCGCATGGTGATTTACAAGCTGCTTGGTGATTCTTCAGTCGACTCAGAATCAACCTCATGGGTGGCATGCTGATCTGCTATTCGGATATGCCTCTTACCTCCGTCATGTGTGCAGGCGCCCCCGGCGTGTGTGGCAGCGCTAGCAGCACAGCTACAGCACCACATGCCACCACACGCCCTCCTCCTCCACTCCTCCCTCCGCCCCCTCCACCTCCTCTCCCCCTCGCCCTGCTACTGCGTCTCTTCTCCTCTCCATTCTCTCCCCACTCCATCAGATCACCCTTTCACGTGCTCTCCTCCCACGCCTGCCTCTCCTGCCGGCCCGGCCTCCCCGGCGTGCCATGAGCCGTGGGGCAGCACAGCCTTGAAAGGCGCCCAGGGCAGAGGGAACTCGCACCTGCTGCTGTGCCACAGGGAGGGGGGGGCTGGGGAAGGAGGAGGGGAGGAAGGGGAGGCAGGAGGCGGGGACAGGGTGGTGGCGTGTGCCAGCGTGGCGGGGCGTGATGCCGTGTGTCTCTCTGCCATTGGCTCGCCTGACGCCCTGCAAGCCACACTGCAGACGCAGGTGAGGGTGCCAGGTGGATGGATGGCAATTGGGCTGATACCAATTGTGTGTGGAAATACATTTGGCGGTACTGATCGTGATTGTTGCAGTAGGCCCATCATCCGTGCATCATGCACCTCCACTGCTTTTCCCCATGTGCCATCCTCCCTCCTGTGTGCAACCCTCCTTCCCCCCAGCTGCACCTGAGGCGGGTGGTGAGCATTGCCCTGCCCGACCACTCGCCCTTCTCCCTCCAGGTCAGCTGCTCACACTCCCCTGCCAAGCCAGCTACCACAGCCACCTGCCCATGTGCATGCGTGCATGCATGCATGGCAATGGTGCTGCGGCACGCTACCAACTGGCATTCCTTTCCTTCTACCAACTCGTGCGAATTCCCTTTCCCTCTCCCTGCCCGCTGCCCGCCTGTGACTTCTCGGGCAGGAGGTGGGGGCAGTGCAGCAAGCCCTCGCCCTCCTCTCACGCACACCTGATTCCAACTCGCCCTCACATGATGTGCAAGGCGCACACGCACACGTGATGAAAGGAGAGGGTGGAGGCTGCGAGGGGGATTCTGCGTGTGGGCGTGGGCCGTTGTTGATACTGACAGAGAAGGTGAGTGCTTGTAGTGAAATGAATGTTGGCATGCTGCTGTTACCCATCGGAGTGCTTTGCTCATTTACTCACTCCACGGAAGTCCTTTTTCTCCTGCTTTCTCCCAGCACCCAATCTCTCTTTCCCCCATTTCCTCACTGCCCTCCCGCGTATCTGCAGGACTTCGATAGGGATCCGCATTTTGTCCGGCACCATCTAGCTCCCTTCTCCCCTCTCATCCTTTGTTGCTCTCTTGAGCTTCTCGATCAACCTTCACAAATTGCACGCTTTCACGAACTATTAGAGAAAACCCTACTGAATTCCGGCGGGAAGGATATGAAATGAGCTTCATGTAGTATACCACAAGGCTCCCGTATAAATTTTATCTTTGAATTAATTTGTAAAGCCTCTTGGAAACTTGGAGCTCTTCATTTAGAGGAATTGTAGCGTGCATAGTGTGTACCCCTACCTTCCTAGTCTCCGCCTAACCTGCTGAACGAACCTGACGTTGGCGAAGATGCATAGCGATTTCCGTAGGTGTGATGTGGCGCTGCGTACGCATTCGGGAGAGAGACGAGCTTTGCGCCACTTTCGGTGATGTTGACCACGTCAACCAGCTTCGAGCCGTACCCGTTACAGCTGCACTGAACGAACCCCTCTCTGCCATGGTCCCAACCCCCAAGCCAAATCATCGAATTTTGTCCTCTGGTGTCGGAAGAAACAAAAGACATGAAACGCATCGACCATGCTCGTTCGTTCCCCCTTCGCCAGGCTTGCTGGCGTGGCGTAAGAGCGTGGCACCATTTTAATTTACCCAAAGTTCGTTCTAACAATAGCGGACCGTCCTTTTAACGCGTAGCGAACCGTAAGCGGACGATAATCGGACGGAAGCACGAACGGACGACGTTGTGACACCTTTTTCATGCTTTTGAAATTCCAATCTACTGTGCATTCGTTAAAACAAATTAAGAAGTTTCGTCGTTTCGCCAAGCATTTGCGCACCAACCAAAACGCAAGGCGAGGCGGCTCGAATATTTCGGAAACCTGCCCTATTCGCGCGCCAACCAAAAGGCAATACTGTAGAGTCGTCCGTTCGGAAAACGGACGACGAATGAACTGCAGTTTCGACCTGAAAAAGGTGGAAAAGTGGCACAGCGATGCGGTATGCATGCGACGTCGCATGCGTCCTGACGAAATCTCCAGCGAAGCTTGACGAATACAATTACCACCCTACGGTTCGAACGGTCCACGGTTCGAACCAAGGGGTAGCAAAATGGTGCCACGCTCTAATCTTGCCAGGAGGGTCATTCCGCGTCAGCGATAACACCGACATTCGGTGGCGGCAAGGATGGCTTTCAAGTCGGGGAGGCTAGGCTAGGCTCTCAACATCGACGCGCGAAACTGGAACGCGACGCGGCTACGTACGAAGTGAGGGGCCAGCCACACGGATGCGAGAAATTCGCAACTGGCGAGCTGCGCATTTCGAATAAATTTGGTTGCGCTGCACGCATAACCATCCACATTTCTCGTCACTCTTCACTGCCATTCCTCCTGCTCACGTCTCAGCTTACTCATTGGGACGTTTTTACAGGAACACCATACCCACGCAACTGATCTCCAAGTCTCGCGACACAAGCACCCCCCTTCTTCTTTCTTACCCACCTCACAAAAGCACATGGCGTCGGCATCCAGAGGGAGCATTCTCTCCGAGCTAGGCATAACGCCCACCACACTCATCTCGCTCGTCTCGCCACTCCTCTCCATCCCCTGCTGCCTGCTCCTCCGCGCCACCCCCTCCACCTCCGCGCGCCATGCCATCGGCGCGCTTACCGGACTGTTTCTCGCGCTCTCCGCTTTCGGTCCCACCATCTGGGCGCACTATGCTGTGCTCCTCACCTTCGCTTATAGCGCAATGTGCTTGTTTCGGAAACGATGCGGGATAATCACTCTGCTCGGCACATTCGCTTACCTCATCGTATGGTAAGCCTCGTCTGTTTTATCCTTACGCTTACTTCCAAGCACCGTTTTGCACTCGCGTCCTCCCTTCCGCGCTCTAAAGTCTCTATTATTAACTAACCCTGCTACCCGATCTTTTCTTCACCTCCCCGCTGTTCCCTCCGACATTTCAGCCACGTGGTGTACGATAGCGGCTCGGCGCGCAGGGATCAGGGCATCGACTTCGCCGGTACGCTTATGATGGTGACACTCAAGCTGACGTCATGCGCCTTCGACTACCAGGACGGCCAATACCTCTCCGACCCCGTCGCCGCCGATTCCGCCGCGAGTGCCGCTGCTAATGGGCGGCCCATCCGCGGTGCGGACCGGCATTTGTGCGACCTTCCTTCTCCGCTTGAATTCATGGGTTACATGTTCTGCGGCGGGTTACATCTCACAGGACCGTACTTCGAAATGAAACCGTACCTCGAGTGGGCGAGGCACGAGGGTGTGTGGTCACGATCCGCGCGAAAGGCGCCGTTCTTGGTGCCGCTTTTGACGGCGCTGGCATGGGCCGTACCGTCGGGGCTGCTCCACCTGATGCTTAAACCGCGTATGAACGTCGCAATTACCTCAGACCCCGCTCAGGTCTGGAGCGTTTCGTACGTGGCGCGATGGGGGTACGCGATCCTGGCGACGTACGCCGTACGTACGAAGATCTACTACGTGTGGATGGTGGCGGAGGGCAGCATGGTCGCGAGCGGACTAGGTTTCAGCGGATGGGTGCCGCAACGCGGAGCTGCCGCTTCTAACAGCAGCAGGGGAAGCAGCAGAGCGCGGGGAGAAAAAGCGGAGCTAAGGGGACGGCGCGGGGGACTGGCCGGACAGGCGGATTGCGAGCCAGTGAGGGAGGTTTTCGGGGAGAGGTGTGTGAACGGTGGTGACGCGGACGTACCTGCACTGACGACTGCGGCGGTCACAGGAAGTGTGATACTATCGGATAGTGATGAAGACGAGAACAGCGCGCCTGTGATTAGGGCGAGTGTGCGAAAGACGAGCAGCAAGTCCAGGCCGAGAGTGGCTTTGACCGCAGCAGTGCCGCAGCTGGAGCAGATCGACTCGGACGAGGAGAGGGAGAGGGAGACGGGGGGGAAGAGGGGGAGTGGGGAGGAGCGGGAGGTGGAAGCGAAGGAGGCGAGCTGGAAGCGGGCGCGCAACATTGACATCGTGGGGGTGGAGGCGGTGACGGGCATGCATGGCTTCGCCAAGAACTGGAACGTGCGCACCGGCGAATGGCTCCGCACCTGTGAGTCCGCCTTTCAGCCCCCCTCCCTTTTTGCCGCTCTCTATTGCTTTCCCGCCATCTCACGAGACTGCTTTCCTTTCTGTCAGTGTTCTCATCTCACGCGTACTCACTCTCTCCTCCCCACGCCATTCGTCCCCCAACCATTGACGTGCAGACATCTACGAGCGCGTGACACCGGAGGGGCAAAAGCCAGGCGTGCTGCCACTGATCCTCACAGTCTGCACCAGCGCCGTCTGGCATGTAAGCCCACGTTCCGCCCTTCCCCTCTCTCACCTTCTGCTCCACTTGCTCCACTCCACCTTATGATGATCCCATCCCCACATTCCATGCCATTCCAGCACTTGCCATGTCCCTCTGCCGTGACTTCTCCCTACTTTGCCACGCCCTGACAATGCATCTACCCCCATGACCTCATGACCTCCCTATTCTGTGTTCTATGCAGGGCGTGTACATGGGAGACTTCTTCTTCGCCATCAACATGGCGTGGCTCATCATGGGCTCGCGCATCATCTACCGCTACCAGTGCACCATCCCCGCCTCCTCACGCCTCCTCTCCCTCACCGTCTCCACACTGCACTCCCTTTACTCCTTCCTCGGCGCCAACTACTCGGCGCAAGGTTTCATTCTCCTCTCTGCCTCACAAACACTTGTGGCGTACAGCGGCATGGGTTGGGCTGGCACGCTGTTGCCTCTCATTCCTGTGGCACTGTCACAGTTGGGCAAGCTAAGGGGGGCCCGGATCTCGGAAGTGGCATCCACAAGACATTCCAAAGTTCAGTAGCATGACTGTAGTAGGGAAACATTATATGTATAGGTTACTGTAGATAGACTTCTCAAATGGTGAGCTCATATGGATTGAAGGGCATGCCTTTCATGCCTTGCAATCCCCATGAGCTGATCAAACAAACTGTCTGTATGGATGACTACATACTGGTAATCGATAGTTCCAATTTATTCGTGAAGTCAAAAATAGCTGCAAGCTGCAAATAAATTCGTGTACCCGAATTTTCTGCCACACCAGCATGACGCGGCCATGCGAGGTCACTGGAGCTGTTGGTCGCCCCCGCCAGCACAGCTGGGTATGCTTCCATCCAGGCCGTTTCATCCCCAAATCATCCCAATCCTACGGGTCTCAACGGACACATACGGCTAGCTGGCAGAATGCATTTTCGGCGCGCAAGCCAAGACCACCAAGCAGAACAGCAGAGCAGACTTCCCTCGGGAATATCCTGCTTTTCACTTCCCACCTGTGATTTGAATTCACTCCATGCTATGATCAAACCCAGTTCCTGACAAGCAGAAAAAGCAAGTTTACGTTGATTAGAGGAGCTAATAGCTTAGAGCTATATTCAATCACAATCGGACGTAGCATTCAGGCTGCGTTTCACTGGAACGTAAGGCCAGAGCGAGAAGGTCTTTGTTAGGCTTAGATTCATTAAGAACTCCACAGCTGCTGCAGCCATGTCGCAAATACCCAAGACCATTCTGGTGCCGGTGGATCAGTCGGAGAACAGCGAGCGCGCCGTGCAGTACGCGCTCACGCGGCTGTGCCGCGCTGGCGTCGACACGCTGCATCTGCTGCACGTGCAGGACTCCACGCACCTCAGCGTCTCCATTGCAGGCGGTGAGTCCTTCTCCGCGACACACGGCTCGGGTTCCCACATTCGTCATGAAATTCGTGTAGATATCCGCGTCGAACAGCTTAGGCTGTCGCAAGTAGCGCCCGCAGGAATGTGTCCTTCACGCTGTTGATCGTTTTGCCGGTTCTGAGTCCGTTTTTGTCATGCGTGTCGCCCGCGGCGCGGCAGACATGGTGGTGCCGCCGGCGGTGGTGGACGAGATGTCGCGGCGCGCGTCGAGCGAGGCGTCCGTTCTCGTCCGCAAGTACCTCGCCGAGGCCGACGCCGCCAAGGTGCGTTGCGCCCACCCGCACTCCGCCAAGGTGCGTTGCGCCCGCACGCCGCCAAGGTGCGTCGCGCTGTCGTGTGGCATTCATCGGAATTTCTCTAATCCATTCTTCCGTTTACAACATTCTCTACTAGCGTGATGGATACAGACGAACTGATGCGCGCATGTGTGACCGGTTTTTGCGCGCATGTGCGGGGGGCGCGCAGGTGCCGGCGCAGGGGTACTACGCGCTGGGGGACGCGCGCGAGGTGATTGTAGCGAGGGCCGCGGCGATCAAGGCGGACCTGATCGTCATGGGCACGCGCGGCATGGGCGCTATCTCGCGGTGAGTGGCGCGCTGCGCGGAGAGAAAGGGGGGAGTGGGGGGGAAAGGGGGGAAACAGAGGGAAGGGGCATTGCATACGAGCGGATGTGCAAGGGGGTGCGGAAGGTAGCTCGGCAATCGCGAAGCATGCGAGAGGTGAGGCAATGTGGCTTGCCCACCACCATATTTTCAACTCTACCATCCCTCCCCCTTCCCCCACCAGCCCCCTCACTCCCAAGGCTGCCCTTACGTCCCTCCCACCACGTCCTCACACACCCCCACTCCTCTCTCCTCTCACCTATCACCTCTCTCCTCTCTCTTCCCTCTTCCCTTTCTCCCCCCCTCCCACCTGCGCGCTGGCAGAGCGATGCTGGGCAGTGTGAGCGACTACGTGGTGAACCACGCCACGTGCGCCGTGCTCATAGTGCGCCCACCGCCCCCGCCCTGGAGTCAACCACACCATCCCTCCCCCCCCTGCCTATCCTGCAGAGCGATGCTGGGCAGTGTGAGCGACTACGTGGTGAACCATGCCACGTGCGCCGTGCTCATAGTGCGCCCACCGCCCCCGCCCTGGAGTCAACCACACCATTCCCCCACCCTCCCCTCACAACCACACCGTTCCCCTCCTTCCTACCCCGCAGAGCGATGTTGGGCAGTGTGAGCGACTACGTGGTGAACCATGCCACGTGCGCCGTGCTCATAGTGCGCCCGCCGGCCCCACCCTCCGCGGACCAGCCCCAGCAGCAGCAGGCGCTGCAGCAGGCGCCTCTGGACCACCCGTCTCAGCGCGTGCTGCTGCTCGCCGTTGACAACTCCGATGGCAGCCGACTCGCCCTCAGGTGAGGCCGCAGGTGGGCTCAAGAGGGTCTCAGTTGGGCCTCAGGTGGGACTCAGGTGGGCCCCAGGTGGGCTCAATTGGGCCTCAGGTGGGCCTCAGGTGGGCTTCGGGTGGGCCTCAGATTTGTCTCAGGTGGGCCCCAGGTGGGCCCCAGGTGGGCCTTAAGTGGACCCTGGGTGGAGCCCAGGTGGGCGTGAGTGCGTGAGTGGAGGGAGAGACGCATGTGGGGGTGCCTGAAATGCGTGTCTCCCTCGCATGCTCTCAAGGTCGCTCACTCACCCACCCACTCTCAGGTCCGCCAAGCATTTCACTCCATTTCTCCCACCCCCCTACACCTCTTCCTCTTCGTGCCCTCCCCCCCCCCTCCCCCCCCCCCCCCCCCGCTCCTTGCTGTGGTTCACCAGGTATGCATTGGAGGAGTTCTGCCGGGCGGACGACATAATCATTCTGCTCGCAGTGCTGCCCACACCCCCCTGGGCCGCCTACGGCGAATACTACAACCAAGGTCAGCCGCCCACGCCTACACCCGCCTCTTTTCTACTCAGGAACGCCTCATCCTCCTCATCCCACCCTGATCCCCATGCATCCCACAATCGCTCATACTTATCTCCCATGTCCATGCAGCATCACGCATGTCATCCCCTATCGCCGACCTCATGCTTTTTCACCCCCCCATCCTGTATCCACCTGATGCCCCCGTGACACCCTTCACCCATGCATGTGTAACGCCACGGGGCAGAGATGATAGAGCGGTTGGAGCGGGCGGAGCTGCAGGAGGCGGATGCGATGCTGGAGGAGTTTGCAGAGCAAGTGCGCGCCATGCACATCGAGTGCAAGAAGGTGGGGCGGGGGTCCATACGGCTTGCAAGCCTTACTGCTTCAGTTCGTGCAAGATTTGTACCTTTCTCAGCCGTTCTATCTGCAAAGGCTCAAAACTGTCATGTGGCAATCTTCTCTGTGTGCGTGCATGGGTGTGTGCATGTGTGGCTCATGGGTGGATGGGCTCGTGCATGTGTACTCGCTTGTGTGCGTGCGTGACGCCATGGGCGTGGCAATGTGGCTCTCAATGTGTGGCGTGTGCATGTGTGTGCACACCAGGAGGTGATACGAGGGGACGTGCGCGAGACCATCTGCTACTCTGCTGAGCAGTTCGGGGCCGACGTGCTGCTCATGGGGTGCAGAGGATTGTCAGGGCTCAAAAAGTATTTGCCTGTGCTTTCAGCCTTCTCGTGCTCTCTTTGTTCTGCAGCCTTGCTTCTTCACGATCACCAGCAGTCTTCTCGTGCAAGCACCATTTTAGTCCAAGTGCCATACTCTCAGTGATGTCCTCTGCTTGCTTCCGGAGCCCACGTTTCTTCAATTGCATGTCGACATGTTTTCCTGCCTTTCCTCCTTTTGGTTCATAGCCTGCTGTTCGCTGCTGTTCTCCCTGTGCCTGTGCTGCGCAGAATGCTTCTTGGAAGTGTCAGCGACTACTGTGCTCACCATGCGGTAGGAGACCCACCCTTGCCTGCACTGCTGCTTTTTACACCCCCTTCCACCCGAGTGTTTCCCTCTTGCCCCCCTGCAGTGTGCCAAATTCATGCCTTTTCTACAACTCAACAGAACTGAACAGTTCTGATGCCATTGACATGTCAATAGTGTGGTTGGCTTTCTCATGCTGGTGTCTGTTTATATTTTCCCTTTCCCCTACGTTTTGCCTGGTCATGCTGATACCCTTACTGCGACGACAGAATGTGCCCATGCTCATAGTGAAACCACAGGAGCACTCCACTGTGGACCTTCTCTCCCCTCGAGTTGTACCAGTTGGCCATTCAGCAGAGGAATCATAAGAGTTGCCCATTCGAAATGGAATAATCCCACTAGCTGGGAATATAAAGAGGTGGTAGAGCTCTTGTAATGTGAGCACCTTGAATTCCTTCAGGATTCACAAAACAGAAAATTTACTTGTTGTAACACCCTGCAGCCTTGTAAATGCAGAAAGTACACTATTTCCATTCGAGGATTCGAGTTCCGGCTGAGGAGGATCTGAATCTCCAGACACGCGAGAGATTTGTGGATGCCTCCCGATGTGTGCCGTGGCAACGCCTCTGATTGGCATGACTGTCTTCCTTCTTCCTCTCTTTGTGGAACGTTGCTGACATGGACAGCCTCGAGCTTGCTTTCCCCCACCAGCACCCAGAGATTCTCCCGAATTTCTGCTGGGCCACGCGTCATTGCAATTCCGCTGGCGTCAACGGGCTTCTGTGCCAAACACAAGCCGAGTTACCATGTTGCCGTCGTCAACGCCTTCGAGAACAGACGAAGCTCAAATTCGCAACGCCTGACGAACCCCCTTTCCAGCTTGCAGCTTGTTACCCCCCCTCTCCATCCACTTCCGTCCACCCCCCAGCTCCTGCTGTCGCCCTACAGCAACTACTACAACTTCCATTGTTCTTGTTCTTACATAGTTAGTTTCAGAATCACCACCACCATCACCAGCTTCTAGGATTCTGCTGCTCGCCTCGCCGTAACGCCGGCGCTATCGTCGTCGCTTCCGACCCGATCAAACCGTTCGCCATTTCGAACCAGATCCCACTTCATTGGCTCTCATCCTGAGATCCTCCATTCATCCGTTCATTCGCCGTCACCCCATTCAACTGCTAACACCGATTTGCCATCATGAGCGGAAGGCGATCAGTTACCACCCTTCTTCGCGCTGCCGCGCAGGCGCGTCGGTATTCGTCGTCGTCGTCGTCATCCGTGGCGACAGCGCATCAGCCGGCGGTGTTCGTGGATAAGACGACACGTGTGTTGTGTCAAGGCATCACCGGAAAGAACGGCACCTTCCATACGGAGCAGGCCATCGAGTACGGCACCAACATGGTACGCTCTAACGCGCGGTTGCCGCACCGAACAGAAGAACATGTGCTTCCGATGTCATTGCGGTCAGACAGTTTTTCGCGCATGAATATGCAGTCGCAATGAAAGACGAAGCAGGAATGTCAGTTGTTTGTCGCGCGTAGCTTCTAATCCGAAAGTCTGGAGCTCTTAGTCATCGTCGTCTTCAGCTCAGTGAGGTCGGACTGACCATGCAAGTAAACGACTGAACATACTGCCTTTCGTTAACATACGCCGGTCGGTTTTCATGGGTCGTGAACACGCCTTTTTTGTCATCGGACTTCAACACATGATCCACTTTCGCGCGACATTGACGTCTCCACCCTTTTTCGCGAGCTCTTATTGTTCCGTCGTTACTCATCCTTCAACCCTTGTTGTTCTTGCCGTCGAGTCTGGACGGGGCTGGCTGGCGTCGGAGAAAGAGTACGGTGGACTGGAATGGGTTGCCGCTGTCGGCATCATGAAGCAGTGCACGGAGACATCCTTACTGACGTAGGAATCTCTTCGCCCACAATGGAATCTCTTCGAAGACGTAGCGCTACTGGCTGGCTGAAAGTCCGCTCCTTCCGCACAACACTGACCCCGGGCTGACTAACGTCCTTCCAGGCATCACCGATCCACTGCGACGCTCTTCGGACACCTTCTTCTTGATGCCACTGATCCTCCCTACTTTGCTCTCAGGCGATGTCTTTCCCGATGTTCCCATCCACCAGCCTCCCCCTTCAGCATACTCCGTACACATGCACCTCTCCCTCCTTGCCTCGCCCCTCCTCTTTGGCTAACCTCCCCTATCCGCTTCCCCTTGTGCCCATCCCTTCTCATCCCTCCACATCCCTCCCTCATCCCTTCCTATCCCTGCCGCGTGTCGCACGGCCAGGTGGGCGGCGTAGTCCCGAAGAAGGGCGGAACGGAGCACCTGGGGCTGCCCATCTTTAACACCGTCGAGGACGCCAAGAAGGCCACCGGCGCTAACACGTTGAATGCACCTCTCCCTTGTTGCCTGTACATACGCAGGTGGGCGGCGTAGTTCCGAAGAAGGGCGGATCGGAGCACCTGGGGCTGCCCATTTTCAACACCGTCGAGGAGGCCAAGAAGGCCACCGGCGCCAACGCGTCCGTGATCTACGTGCCGCCGCCATTCGCGGCGGCGGCGATCATGGAGGCCATGGAGGCGGAGCTGGACCTCGTCGTCTGCATCACCGAAGGCATCCCGCAGCACGACATGGTGAGCGCCGTGACGCGCGGGGAATAGAATGGCAGGATGGCAGAATGGCGACATGATGGCATGACGGCATGATGGCATGATGACACCTTGGTCATGGGCCTGGAAAGCTTGGATGCGCGTTGTGCGTTGCTGCTCCCCCGTGACCAACTTCCCCTCTTCACGCCTCCTCTTTCCTCCAACCGCATTGCGCCACGTGTCATTACGGGCAGGTGCGCGTGAAGGCAGCGCTGATGCAGCAGAGCAAGACGAGGCTGATCGGCCCCAACTGTCCGGGCATCATCAAGCCGGGCGAGGCGAAGCTGGGCATCATGCCCGGCTACATCCACAAACCCGGCCGCATCGGCATCGTCTCGCGCTCCGGCACCCTCACCTACGAGGCTGTGAGTACCACCCTCACCTACGAGGCCGTGAGTGCCACCCGCCTGCGTTTTCCCTCCCTGCTGCCCTGCCCCCCGTCCCCGTCCTTGACTTGGAACCCGCTTGTGTCCTCATCCCTGCTTCATGCTTCGAGTTTCTCAACCGCCGTCGTTGTCATTCCCTTGTTGGAAGTGCTGGGCTTCACCCGCAGCCCTGTTTCCCGTCTCTCCCTGCTCTGCGTCCCTCTCCCCCTCCACACGGTGACACGCGTCACGGCGCATGACTGGAGGAGCAGGTGTACCAGACGACGCAGGTGGGGTTGGGGCAGTCGACATGCGTGGGCATGGGCGGTGATCCATTCAACGGCACCAACTTCGTCGACTGCCTGGACAAGTTTATTAAAGACCCGCAGACTGAAGGTACGCCAGCCCACCCATGCCTTGAGGTGCATTTTAAGGTGTGTTGTGTGTGGACTCAACACACACCCATTCAACGGCACCAGCTCCGTCGACTGCCTCGACGATGTCATCAAAGACCCCCAGACCGAAGGTCAGGCCACCCGCCGTAACCGTGCCTTGGGGTGCACTGCCGTGGGGGAGGAGGGGTGGAGAGTTCAGCGGGATTTTTATGGTGCTTAGCTGCCCACCGTTGTTGTCACCCTTCATGCTATCCCTCCCATGTCTTCCCGCCACGTCATCCCCAATGTTCCTCGAGGTCGTCCCTCTGTGCCCTCACACCAGCTATCTCCGTGCTTCCCATGCGCCACTGCCCCTGTGATTCCCCGTGACTCCCTGTGACTGTCCCTTTGACTGCCCCCGTGACTGCCCCCCCCACAGGCATCATTCTAATCGGTGAGATCGGAGGCAGTGCGGAGGAGGACGCAGCGGAGTTCATCCGGGCGAGTGGCACCACCAAGCCCGTCGTGTCCTTCATCGCCGGCCTCACTGCTCCGCCTGGCCGCCGCATGGGGCATGCCGGAGGTACGCAGGGGGCATGCAGGACATGTGCATGGGGCACACGGGAAGTATGCTGGGGGCATGTAGGAGATGTGCATGGGGGATTGAAGGGTTGCATGGATGAATGATGAGGAAGCTGAGGGCTGGGAAGGTTGAATCTGTCTATCATGGTGTAGAATGAGCCCGCCCAGTTGGGTGGTGAGTGAGTGGTAGCTACGCTTGCCTGCACGAGTGGCCAATGGGAGCTGCATCCCCTGTCCTCTCCTGTTTCCTTGTACCAATTCCATCTTCCCCCACACTGAATCTCTCCTGCTCGCGCATTCCACCTGCTCCCCCCCCATGGCGCTGCAGCGATCATCAGCGGGGGCAAGGGCACGGCGCAGGACAAGATCAAGGCTCTGGAGGGCGCAGGGGTGACGGTGGTGCGCTCGCCTGCTCAGATCGGCAACGCCATGTTCGCTGCCTTCAAGGAGCGTGGGCTCGTGTAGAGAGGCACGCGGAAGACAGGCCAGTGGTGGTTGTGGCTTTAGATTTGTGCAAGCTGCAGCTGCTTGTTCAATCTTATTCTGCCCTGTACAACAGCAGCAGCAGCATTTCAAAATTCCGGCATTTTTCAAATATAGTAGCACCTGTAAGCTATGAGCATATCTGCTTTTCCATCACCATACCGTATCTATACAGTTGTTCGCTGCGACGAATTCTGGCGACTGCGACGATGTTCGCTGAATGCTTTGCATAACAAGCAGAGAATCGAGACACTCAGTAAGGCTTTTGAAAACCCGTTATAGTCAGCACACAGTACTGCACACTACCACAATGCGTTACCTCGTCGCATGAACCCCCCGTCATCTCGTTTCTCCTTGCTGTTGGGATAGTTTCTGGCCGTGATCACAGATGAAAAGCTTCACCGCATATGGTCGCTCTCCTTAGAATTTTGGGTGTTAAATTTCGCCACCGCCGGTTACCTCTTCGCGTCGTCACCGCGATGGCGTTGGGTCGGCTGTCGATAGATTAACACTTCGAGGCGCAGTGCGACGCGCATGGGCGCAGTGCGACGCGCATGGGCGCAGTGCGACGCGCATGGGCGCAGTGCGACGCGCATGGGCGCAGTGCGACGCGCATGGGCTCAGTGCGACGCGCATGGGCGCAGTGCGACGCGCATGGGCGCAGTGCGACGCGCATGGGCGCAGTGCGACGCGCATGGGCGCAGTGCGACGGGCTCAGATTATTCTCACCTCCCCCCTGACGCCCTGCCACGTCACCTCCCCTCTGAGGCAGGCCAACGCATGTGGTAACCGCATATAACCGCATTCGCTCCTGTCGCTTGCGCCTTGCACCGCACATGGCCACTTCAGACCGGGCATGCATTCGGAACTGGTGAGACGCTTTCGTTCGTCACGCTTCACCGCGCTACACCGCGCTGCACCCAATACATGTGCTTCACCGCGCTGCACCGCGCTGCATATTCATTTACATCGAAATCCGCCTTCTCTCCTTGGGTCATTGGCAGGTCGGAGCATGCAGCTATAGCAGAGGGGCAGCTGAAGCAGAGGGGACTTGCATTCAACACTTGTTTTCAACATGAGTCGTATGATCGCACCGCTGCTTTGCTGACAGGGGATGTGCACTTCAGGTGAGATGCCTCGTTGCCTCTGCATCATGGCGTTGCCTCTGCATCATGGCGTTGCCTCTGCATCATGGCGTTGCCTCTGCATCATGGCGTTGCCTCTGCATCATGGCGTTGCCTCTGCATCATGGCGTTGCCTCTGCATCATGGCGTTGCCTCTGCATCATGGCGTTGCCTCTGCCTCTGTGGTGGTGACGCTCCCCACAGCAGGTGCGCTCAGCAAGTGTGCTTTGTGCTGTGCTGTGCTGTATGCTGTGCAGTCAGCTTTGTGCTATGTGCTATGTGCTCTGTGCTCTGTGCTATGTTCTATGTGCTCTGTGCTGTGTGCTGTGTGTTTTGTGCTGTGCTGTGTGCTGTGTGTTATGTGCTGTGCTGGGTGCTGTGTGTGTTGTGCTGTGCTGGGTGCTGTGTGTGTTGTGCTGTGCTGGGTGCTGTGTGTGTTGTGCTGTGCTGGGTGCTGTGTGTGTTGTGCTGTTCTGGGTGCTGTGTGTGTTGTGTTGTGCTGGGTGTTGTGTGTGTTGTGCTGTGCTGGGTGCTGTGTGTGTTGTGTTGTGCTGGGTGCTGTGTGTGTTGTGCTGTGCTGGGTGCTGTGTGTGTTGTGCTGTGCTGGGTGCTGTGTGTGTTGTGCTGTGCTGGGTGCTGTGTGTGTTGTGCTGTGCTGGGGGCTGTTACCAAGGAGGATTATACAAACTCCATTGCTCCGAATAGCAAGGTGAGTCGTGTGGTAACCAGGTTACGTGAAGGGATAGCCTGGTGAGTCAGCCAATGCACAAGGCACTGAGCACGGGCAGGCGTTGCAGCTGCTCTCTTCTGCTGGCATAACGAGGACCCAACTCCATACCTGCCAACAACAAGGTCAGGCCAAGTGAGGCAATGTGGTAACCAGGTTACATCGTGCGGTAGCCAGGTGAGTCAGGCAGCACAGAAGGCGTCTCACAGGTTACATCTGGTGTGGTGTTGTAACCAAGTTACATTGGTGTGGTCTCCTCATGCAGTTACCCTTCACATGGTTCCACCTACCATTTCACCCCCTTGCCTTTTGTTCCCGATCAGGCCCTCTGCCTGGTGTACGGCCGAGATCTCGCGACGGCGGTACGAGCTGGCGGCGTCTGATACGCTCAACGCCAAGAGCACGCTCAGCAACTGGCTAACGACTGGTAGTGAATATGGTAGTCAAAGGAGTCTTAGTCAATATGGTAGTCAAAACTGGCTATGATGAGAGCAAAATGGTAGTCAAAGGGGCCTTGGAGAGCCTTTGGACGAAATGCAGCCACAGTAGCACCTGTACGTTATGAACTGCATCACCTGTAAGTCCATGCTGAGACGTACTTGTCAGATTTATAAAAAAAGCAGGTCTATCACTATTCAGGTCTAAAAACCATTCAGGGCCTTGGGTCTTCTGGGCCCCTCTTGGCCACTAGGGGGGTTAACCCCTAGTGTTACACCCACACACCGCGTTGAGGTGGGGACCCTTCGTGTGGGTCCGCAGCCCCTAAACAACACGAGCCGGGCTGCAGCGTCCCACAGCCCAACTCAGACCAGGTGGCGTAACACCTGGCCAGGCGAAGGCGGGGTGAGGAGGCCATCAGAGTTCAGGGAGCGTCCCCCCATCCCTCGTCAGAACACTCAACTCACACACAGGGGCGCTTCAGGCGCGGGAGGCGTCCGTCCCAACGCCGTCAGCAACCCCTGCCGCACAACACCTATGCCGCAGTCGGAGGCGGTCTTCGGTCTTGGACCCTGCCAGCTGCAGAGCGACACACAACACAAGACAAACACAACACACGATCAAGTGAAACAGGCACGACGAACACATGCAAGAAAGCAAGACAAATCTGAGAAAAAAAAGCGAAACGGGTTACCTCGCTGCAGCGATGAAGCAGCACCTCACCTCCGTCCGTGCCGGCCGCCGTGTCGTCTCCGCGCTGCCCGCCATGCTGAAGGGAATGGAAGGGGGGGATTATGCATAGGGACGCCTCTTGCTGCCCCCCGCGCGCTGCCCCCTCGCCCTCCTCGCCCCACGAGTCGACTTGAAGGGAATGGAAGGGGGGGGGGGGGTAGAGAGACAAACAGGAAAACAAGGATCAAGTGAAACAAGCACGACAAATACACGTAATGCGAAAAACTGAAAGAAAGCAATGCGGAAACGGACAAGGGAAGAAGGTTACCTCGCTGCAGCGATGAAGCAGCACCTCACCTCCGTCCGTGCCGCCCGCCGTGTCGTTTCCGCGCTGCCCGCCATGCTGAAGGGAATGGAAGGGGGGGATTATGCATAGGGACGCCTCTTGCTGCCCCCCGCGCGCTGCCTCCTCGCCCTCCTCGCCCCACGAGTCGACTTGAAGGGAATGGAAGGGGGGGGGGGGGAGGGGGGAGAGACAAACAGGAAAAAAAGGATCAAGTGAAACAAGCACGACAAATACATGTAATGCGAAAAACTGAAAGAAAGCAATGCGGAAACGGACAAGGGAAGAAGGTTACCTCGCTGCAGCGATGAAGCAGCACCTCACCTCCGTCCGTGCCGGCCGCCGTGTCGTCTCCGCGCTGCCCGCCATGCTGAAGGGAATGGAAGGGGGGGATTATGCATAGGGACGCCTCTTGCTGCCCCCCGCGCGCTGCCCCCTCGCCCTCCTCGCCCCACGAGTCGACTTGAAGGGAATGGAAGGGGGGGGGGGGGGGGGGGGGTAAGAGAGACAAACAGGAAAAAAAGGATCAAGTGAAACAAGCATGACAAATACATGTAAAGCACGAGAGCGGCGTACCATGCGTGAAGGGCGCTGCAGTCTCCTCCTGGCGCTCCTTTCTTCAGCCGCACCAAGGCAACAACTAACACATGATTAGCAAATAGAAAAGGAAAAGCACGACAGCTCGTACCATGCATGAAGGGCATTTCTGTCCCTCATCTTGGCTCCTCTTGCAGCATTGAAGGCACGGCAGCATTGAAGGCACGAGCGCTTACGCCTCTCCAGAGAAAACAAGCGCCCAGAACCAGCGGGGCGAGAAAACAAGCGCCCAACCAGCGGGGCGAGAAAACAAGCGCCCAACCAGCGGGGCGAGAAAACAAGGAGTGTGAGAAAAGACAAGGTTGTTCCCAAAACATGGGAGCGCCCAAAACAGGGGCGAGAAACAAGAAGCAGGTGCTGGCAACCAGAATTGTCCTAACCATTGAGTTAGGAGATTCAGCCTCCCTACCCTATGGAGGTGACATATGGTTGCCAAGCAAAAACAACAGGGTTGTTCCCAAAACATGGGCGCGCCCAACAGGGGCGAGAAAACAAGGAGTTCCCAACATGGGCGAAACAGGCAAGATAGTAGCCAACAAGGTACGACTGGTTTGACCCCTCCTGGCCGCTGGGGCAGTTGGTGCCGCCCCCAGCAAACCAAGCAGCAGAAGCCAAACCGAGCCAAAAGGAGAAGAAAGAATCAGAGACGTAGCTAGGTTGGACCCCTCTTGGCCGCTGGGGCAGTTGGTGCTGCCCCCAGCGAACCAAGCAGCAGAAGCCAAACCGAGCCAAAAGGAGAAGAAAGAATCAGAGACGTAGCTAGGTTGGACCCCTCTTGGCCGCTGGGGCAGTTGGTGCTGCCCCCAGCGAACCAAGCAGCAGAAGCCAAACCGAGCCAAAAGGAGAAGAAAGAATCAGAGACGTAGCTAGGTTGGACCCCTCTTGGCCGCTGGGGCAGTTGGTGCTGCCCCCAGCGAACCAAGCAGCAGAAGCCAAACCGAGCCAAAAGGAGAAGAAAGAATCAGAGACGTAGCTAGGTTGGACCCCTCTTGGCCGCTGGGGCAGTTGGTGCTGCCCTCAGCGTTACACCCTGGCACCACTGTGAGGTGGGGGACCGCCGCCAGGGAAAAACAAACGCCCAAGCGGGGCAAAGGAACCTTGGTTCCCAAAAGAGGCGCTGCCAACCAGAATTGTCTCAACCAATGGCTGGGAGAATCATTCTCCAACCCTATGGAAGTGACAGGTATGGTTGCCAAGCACAACAAGGAGGTAGCTTTCAGAGGGGCAGAAAGAACAAGGGGAAGGAACATTGGTTCCCAAAAGAGGCGCTGTCAAACCAGAGTTGTCTCAACCAGTTGCCGGGAGATTCATTTTCCCGCCCTATGGAAGTGACAGGTATGGTTGCCAAGCGCAAAAAGCAGGTTGTTCCCAAAGGGGCTTAGAAAGAGGTAGCTGCTAAAGGGTAAGAGGAAGAGGGTAGTTCCTAAAAGGGGAAGAAAGAGAGGGCAGTTCTCAAAGGGACTGCAAAAACAGGAAGTTCCCAAAAGGGGCTGAAGGAAACTTGGCTCCCAAGGCACTTATAGAAGCAACAACAGGTGGCTCCGAGGTTGTTTCCGAAGCACTGCCTGGGAGCTATATTCTCCCAAGCAATGGTAAGGACATGTAGTTGCCATAATAATGGCTGGAAGGAAATGTTGCCATAACAATGGTTGGAAGGAAACATTGCCATAATAATGGCTGGAAGGAAACATGGCCATAATAATGGCTATAAGGAAACATTGTCATAATAATGGCTAGAAAGTAATATAGCCGTGATAATGGCTGGAAAAAAAAATAGCCGTGATTATGGCTGGAAAGGAAGATAGCCGTGATATAGAAGGCAGTAACCAAAGGGGAGAAACAGAAGGTAGTTCCCACAAGGGAAGAGAGGGAGGGCATTTCCTAAGGGGAAGAAAAACAAGTTTCTAAAGGAGAAGACAAAAGAGGGTAGTTCCCAAAACAGGGCAGTTCTCAAAAGAGGGCAGTTCCCAAAAGAGGGCAGTTCCCTAAAGAGGCCAATTCCCTAAAGAGGGCAGTTCCCAAAAGAGGGCAATTCCCAAAAGAGGGCAGTTCCCAAAAGAGGGCAGTTCCCTAAAGAGGGCAGTTCCCAAAAGAGGGCAGTTCCCAAAAGAGGGCAGTTCCCAAGCGGGGGCAGTTCCCAGAGGGCAGTTCCCAAGCGGGGGCCGTTCCCAAAAGAGTGCAGTTCCCTAAAGAGGGCAGTTCCCTAAAGAGGGTAGTTCCCAAAAGAGGGCAGTTCCCAAAAGAGGGCAGTTCCCTAAAGAGGGCAGTTCCCAAAAGAGGGCAGTTCCCAAAAGAGGGTAGTTTCCAAAAGAGGGCAGTTCCCAAAAGAGGGCAGTTCCCTAAAGAGGGCAGTTCCCAAAAGAGGGCAGTTCCCTAAAGAGGGCAGTTCCCTAAAGAGGGCAGTTCCCAAATAGGGCAGTTCCCAAAGGGGCAGACAACAGGCCACGAAACATGGCATAGGGAATGTGGTATGCGCCCAAAACAAGGGCAAACCGTGGTTCCCAAAACAAGCGTCCGAACCATTGAGTTGGGAGATTCAGCCTCCCTACCCTATGGAGGTAACAACAGGTGGCTCTCAGGTAGTTTCCAAGGCACTGCCTGGAGGATTAATCCTCCCAAGCACTGGCAAGGACCTGTGGTTAATAATGGCTGGAAGGAAACATTGCCGTAATAATGGCTAGAAGGAAACATTGCCGTAATAATAGCAGGAAACATTGCCATACAAATGGCTAGAAATGAGTATAGCCGTGACGATGGCTATATTCCTCGAAAATCCCATTGATGGACACCCAGGTTTCCCACCCTCTGAGTAGGAAACCCAGACGGGGAACATATTGCCATGATAATGCCTGGAAAGGAATAACCGTGATAAGGTATATTCCTTTCGCTGTGGGAACATATCGCTAGGTGGGGAACCTGGGCGCCCAAGTTTCCCACACTCTGTTTTTCACCCGCCCTTTTCTATCTTCCTTCTGCTCCCTCTGTTTCAGCTGCTCCCTCTGCTTCAGCTAACCCCTTTCTGCTTCAGCTTCTACCTCTGCTTCCGCTGCCCCTTCTGCCAACAAGCCAAGGAGAGGAAGAATTTGATTCGATTGAGTTTGAGTTCGTTTCATCTCACCATCTGTGAGGAGAGCCGGGAACAGAGAGGTGTGAGCTCACCTCCTCTTCTCCCCTGCTGCTGCTCGCCTCTGCTTCAGCTCCTGTGCTCGCCTCCTCTACTGGCCTCCTCTGCTCGCCTCCTCTGCTCGCCTCCTCTGCTTGCCTCCTCTGCTCGCCTCCTCTGCTCGCCTCCTCTGCTCGCCTCCTCTGCTCGCCTCCTCTTCACCCCTCCTCCGCTCCCTGTGAACGGTGCAGCTCCTCTCTGCCGTCCACAGGTGCAACCGCCTCCTCTCTGCCGTCCACAGGTGCAGCAGCCTCCTCTCTGCCGTCCACAGATGCAGCAGCCTCCTCTCTGCCGTCCACAGGTGCAGCAGCCTCCTCTCTGCCGTCCACAGGTGCAGCAGCCTCCTCTCTTGCCGTCTGATCCTCGTCAGCGTGCCTCAGCCTCCTTGCTCCTTGCCATAGCAGGGCGTCACGATACACGGCGGTGCTCTCAGCAGCCCAAGAAAGAAACTACTCGATCCTTGCCTCCTCCTTGCCTCGTTGCATCCTCCTTGCCTCCTTGCCTCCTCCTTGCCTCCTCCTTGCCTCCTTGCCTCCTCCTTGCCTCCTCCTTGCCTCCTTGCCTCCTCCTTGCCACTCGCCAGTCACCCAGCAGCAGGTGAGATGCCCATGCTTCCAGCAAGTAAGAAACCACTCTCTCCTTGCCTCCTTGCCTCCTTGCCTCCTTGCCTCCTTGCGTCCTTGCCTCCTTGCCTCCTTGCCTCCTTGCCTCCTTGCCTCCTTGCCTCCTTGCCTCCTTGCCTCCTTGCCTCCTTGCCTCCTTGCCTCCTTGCCTCCTTGCCTCCTTGCCTCCTTGCCTCATTGCCTCCTTTCCACCTTGCCTCCTTGCCTCCTTGCCTCCTTGCCTCCTTGCCTCCTTTCCACCTTGCCTCCTTGCACCTTGCCTCCTCCTCCCTCCCTCCAGATGCCTAAGCTCCCTGCCAAGGCAAAAGAGGGCGGGGGGAGAAAAGGGAGAGGAACGACGGAAGAAGAGTAGAAGATAATGAAACACTGCAGAGACGAGACAAGGACGAGGCAAGCTTGGTAGAGAAGATGAAGAGCAGTGGAGGGCAACTCACCAGGTGGCCCAAGCATGGCGTGGCTCTCTGCTTGCCGTCACTCTCCCGCTGGTGCCACATCCCCCGCTGCCACAGCGTCACTCAGCTATGGCTCTCCTCCTGCTCCTGTCGCTGCAGACACGCCTTCCCATTGACGCCTTAACATTTTCTGCAGAGCGACCAGACAGTTGCAATCCCACAGGGAAGGTCAGTCAGAGTGGAGGTTACAAGTGGAGAGAGCAAAGTGAAAGAATGAAATGTAAAGAGTGCGAGGGGGAAAAGCGGGACTGCATTGCTGATGTTACTTACTCGATTCTTCAGTCGATGCTGCCTTGGCCGAGGGCAGGTTGGGCGAGCGCAGTGGTCAGCAGGGCCAGCCCAGGCCATGCAAGCAGTGAGGGTGCGTGAGTGGCGTGAGTGGCGTGAGTGGCGGTGGCAGCGGCGGCGGCGGTGGCAGCTGCAGGGCGGGCACCAAGGACAGTACCGTACCTTACCACACCTGACGTTACCACTTACGCTGGCAGTCGCCTGCTGTCACACACCTGGGGAGGGTCCCTTGGTGCCGCCCGTGAGAGCGGCGAGAGGAGGAGGAGGGAGCGAGCGCAAGCAAGCAGAGGATGGCACGAGCACGAGCGAGTGAGTGAGTGGTGCGTGCACAGTGCGAATTCGGTGAGATAGCTTAGCCGGATTGAAGAGGGTCGAAGGAGCATGCAGGCGTGCTCCCCTTGCTTGCGTGCAGCACCCACACGGCCATGCGCCTCTCCTTGCCGCCACACTCCCCCTGCTGCCGCAGCGCCACTCAGAGACGCCACGGTCGGTCGCGCTGGTGCTGCCGGGAGGTTGGGCGAGCGCAGTGGTCAGCAGGGCCAGCCCAGGCCGTGCGTCATCCCACCACTCGCCTCTCCCGC